ATGCTTTTTCGATTGGTTAGAGAAAGCTGGATCTCAGCATAAATTTTGTCCGCTCTCAAAGAATCCGGTTCTTCTTGTCCGTCCTCATAATTTATTAAATTATTGATAATGTCACTGTCATTGACAGTTTCTTCTTCAATCAAACCCGTGCTTCTAGCGAGTTGAGAGGAAGCAATTGAACGCGCATTGTCCGGATATTGTTTATAGCAAATGAGCAGAGCGTCTTGAAGTGTATATACAGTGGGCCACAAAAGTGTTCGTACACTTGCAATTTCTTATAAAATTTAACGTTTTCGACTAATAAAAATTAATATATTGTAATTGTAATTTTTTTATATCTGCAACTTGTTCTTAATGGAACGACATAATTAGTTTTATAAAAATAATATAACTATTTTTTTTAAAAAATTAATAATCAAAAAGCTACTAAAAATTACCCCACAAAAGTCTTTGTACACTTAACAAAAATCTCAACTTAGCTTTAAATATTGTATTTCTTTCTTAATTTAGTACTTAGTACGATATCTTTTAGTGTCCACAACAAATGTTAAGCGTCTTGGTATAGATGTAATCAGTTTTTTTGTAATTTCTGCATCGATTTCCTCCTTTCTTCTGTGATTATTGTTTTTACTTCACATTTTGTGTTTATTTATCATGTTTTCTTTTTTTTTACATCAAAATCTCCCCAAATATGTTCTACTGGGCTAGACAAAGCGATTGAGGAGGTGTTTTCATAATTTGGGGACAGTTATAGAGACACCAGTGGCGTACACTGAGAGCAGTGCGCTTGGCGTCACTATCTTGTTAAAAAATGAAGTCGTTTCCAATATCCAAATTTTGGGTAAATAATAGCTTGTAAATTAAAAAATAAGGAGTTTAATCCCTTATATTTATGTGGAACAAGAACTCCTCCACCTCCATGCTTCAGCATGGAACTGAAGGTGCTCTGGCGTGGGGAAGCAAATTGGCCTCAAAATTAGGTAATTTGGTATTTTTTGATAGTATTGTGAATCATGTGCTCTATTTAAATATTTTAAAGAGAAATTTTAAATTATCCGTCCAAAATTTGGATATTGGAAACGACTTCATTTTTTAATAGGGTAATGACGCCAAGCGCACTGCTCTCAATGTACGCCACTGGTGTCTCTATAACTGTCCCCAAATTATGAAAACACCTCCTCAATCGCTTTGTCTAGCCCAGTAGAACATATTTGGGGAGATTTTTATGTAAAAAAAAAGAAGAAAACATGACAAATAAACACTAAATGTAAAGTAAAAACAATAATCACAGAAGAATGT